GTCTCAATGTCCCCATGTCCCCCAGCCAGTGTCTCTAGTGTCTGTGTCCCTGGTGTCTGTGTCCCCATGTCTTCAAGTGTCCCCTATTTTCCCAGTGTCCCCATGCGTCCCAGCCAGAGTCCCCTAGTCTCCCAGTGTCACTGGTGTCTCCGTGTCCCTAGGTCTCCCCGTGTCCCCAGGTCATCCCGTATTCCTAGTGACATGGGGACCCTGGGATACATGGGGACACAGGGAGACATGGGGCATTGAGACACTGTGATACATAGGATCACTGGGAGACCTGGGGACACGACACTAGGGGACACTGGGAGACATGGGGCACTGAGACACTGATGCATAGGAACACTGAGACCTGGAGTAATCGACAAATGGGGGCACTGGGAGACATGGGGCCACTGAGAGGAATGCATCTATATTTTCTCTTATGTCACTCCTTGTGATTTACATCATGTGATGTCACCCATACATATTTAATTATGCAAATTAGCAAGGCCAGTATGTTTTTCCAAAAAAGTTGGCAACCCTAACTACTTTTCACATACTCTTACTTAAGTATGGAAACTTAAGAGGGATGTATGGGAACAAAACTTGTGTGGACTGGCTGGCAATGAATATAGTTAAATGGACACTAGAGTCACCAGAACAACTACAGCTTATTGAATTTGTTCTGGTGAGTAGAATCATTACCGTCAGGCTTTTTGCTGTAAACACTGTCTTTTCAGAGAAAATGCAGTCTTTACATTACAGCCTAGTGATAACTTCACTGGCCACTCCTTAGATGGTTGTTAGAGATCCTTCCTGGGTCATGGCTGCCTAAAATGCATCCAAACATTCAGTGTCTCCTCCCTCTGCATGCAGACACTGAACTTTCCTCATAGAGATTCATTGATTCAATTTATCTCTATGAGGAGATGCTGATTGGCCAGGGCTGTGTTTGAATCATGCTGGCTTGTTACGATTGCCCCCGGTCTAGCAGGAGGGTTGATCGCTTGGATGTCCTGGTTCCCGCTGCAGAGAGTCGAACGGAGGTCTTTCGGTAGTAAACTGCAAATGTAGAATATCCCCAAGCACGATATAAGCATCAATATCCCGGATCCCTACAACATGAGTCGAGGCTGCAAGTTGAGGGTCAAAACGAACTGGCTTTACTGGCACATAGCATGGCAATTTATGTGATTCCTCAGGTCCAAGGACAGCCCCCTGTGGACCTGATGGAATACAGGTACAGTACAGACAAATATCCAATCACAGTACAGTGTATTATTTGAATCAGTACCCGCCCAGCTTGGAGATAATGAGGCCAACGGTTATACAATCTAATTATCTCCAAGCGCACAAAAGACCACGTTTTATTATGTCCCAGAAAACTGCATAAAAATCCATAACTTTTATATTAATACATGAAAACCGCTCATTCTACCCTTCATCTGAAGGCTCGCGTTCGTGTATATAAAACAGGCGAATGGCGCTCTAACCCCACGAACAGAATGTACTGTTTCTGCCGTATAAAGTCCGTTCGGCATTTTGAGATTGTTAGTCTTTGTTGGCGGCCATGTTTTCTGCTGGTTTAGCGAGCAGCGGGACTTCGTGTCTAACTCGTGGAACTAAACTCGGGATCAGTTCATGCGAAGTCCCGCTGTCTGTCTGGTAGTGGGCTCGTTCGGTAAGGGAATGAGGACCACCTGGGAGCAGGGTACTTGACCTGCGGTTAACCGCAGAAACCACAAGTTAACGAGCGCCACGCGACCCGCTGTAGGGGGTCGTCGTTCGGTTGATAGTTCGGTATTTTCCCTTCGGTACTTTGGGTGCAAACGTCGATGCCCCCAGGCCTACCAATTACGTTGTGGTTAACCGCAAACCGCAGACCCCTGGGTGGTTAATGGCTGCCACACTCCGAGGGCCGGGTGGTCGACCGTTCGGTAGTTTGCGGGGTGACGGGGTTAAGTGGCGGCACACGCCAGTTTCTGGGGGGTCCCCCGTTCGTACCACGAATGGAGCTTTCATAAGGGTTCGCGTAATCCATTTGTGTGGTTTTCTGCTTAACTTATGCAGTGGCAAACAGTATCAATCGGTGGGTTAAAACAGTAACATAGTGATTTCCAGTCTTTTGTAACATGGCTCTGCCCCGATCTACCTCCTTGTCAGTCTCAGCCAATCCTATGGGGAAGCACTGTGATTGGATTAGGCCACCACCTCTAATGATGTCAGCAGACTGCTTGTTTTTCTAAGTCTAACAGCATGCAGAGTTACAGCTTCAGGCTTGAATACAGTAAAATTTTGCTATATTTATGGAGGCATGAGGGGCCCAGGGGGGGCTAGATGGTGGTGTTAACACTATAGGGTCATGAATTCATGTTTGTGTTCCTGACATACTTGCTTTCCTGGCACTTTAGTGCC